TTTTTTCATAGTAGTGGGTCATGAGTCATGAGTGTTCATCATTTGGTGTTCAGGGACTCCCAACCAACAAGACAGATAAGGCTATAGTAACATATAATCTAAATTTAAAAAGCACCAGCTTGATACAGAAATCACCTGAACATCTCATCCACCTCTCCAACCACTGCACCCCTCTTCGCCACCGCGCCACACCGCCACCCGCCACCATGCCGTGCCTCCGCTCCGGTTCAGTTCCAAGGCGGCCAACTCGCTGAGCAGCAGCGGCGGCGGGGTGGTGGCGTCCACGAGCAAGAAGCCGGACCACAGGAGCCGCCCCTCCGTGTCCACCTTCCGTCCGGTTCGCCCGTCGGGTCCAGCCCGGATGGTTCGGGCCCCGAGTTCGTTCGATTTCGGCCCGTGCCGGTGTCGACCAGTCGACCATACGACCGTGGAAAGGTTTGTGGATATTTCAGGAGTTAATCACATGTCGGCCCCAAAACATTTGTCCATGTGACTTATGAACTGGAAATGATGCGAACGTACTGTGGTTGCTAAAAAACTCAGGTGATTGGTTCAAAGTAGTTCCGACACCCAATCCGGGCCCGACCTTGAATCCTTCCCCCGTTGGAATTCCAGAACCACCAAGCACCCGTGCACCTTCCAAGCACACCCATGGCCCACCTGCCTCCATGATCCGCCGCACTTGTGGGTCATCCTGCACCAAGGGGCCTTCCAAGCCCGCCACCAGGGTCTTCCTGCGAAACGTGAAGGCCTGGCAGGAATGGCAGGTGCTGCAGGGCATGGCAGGCGCTGTAGGTTCAACCGAGCTGAGAGCTGGTCGATATTCCGAAAAGAAGTGTCCCAGATTTGGAAACATCACCATGCTGAATAGAAGCTGGGAGATTGAGTGCACTTCTGCAAGTGGAAAAAGATGGAAAAAGGCAATGAAGCTTGGTGGAGGCGCTCAGAATTTGAGTGGATCAATTGTGAGTACGGGGTACAGAATTCACCCATGAAAGATACATTGGAAGTTTCAATTTTCAGGGATGAGCTTCTGTCTTCCTGGTTTAGTTTATCGTTCCAGTACCTGTATGGTATAGCGAAATGGTTGGTCTGTGTGTTCGAAGGCAAGTGAACACTTCTAATCTAGCACACCCAACCCAAAATCGACCAAGCCTTGAACCAACACGCTACTCCTCTGCTGGCACCACTCGAGAAAACTGGTGAATCTTGACGCCAAATTTATCATGGGAGTGAAGGATACAGCCGTTTGGATGACCGTTTTTCATCGTTTTCCTCTACTCTGGCACCCGGTGGAGTTAACTCAGATTTCCGTTGGGCCGCCCAGTACACCAGTGCCTCGAGCCCCTGGTTCGGCAGCTCGTTCTGCGTGACCCGCGCGCCCGGCTGAACGTCCAGGAGCTGGGCGTTCACCGAGGAATTGGAGGAGCTGCGCCAGGTGTGCCAGGGCGGCAGCCTGAGAAACAGGAGCCGAATGGATTTGTCCCCATCTTCATCTTTTTTTGCAGGTTTCGATGATGAAGTCATGGGGCATGTTGAGGTTGCACACACAAACACACAAACACCCATGAATCAACCTCTTCGCAGAAGTACTTGCCACACAGTCTCCACTTCGGGGCCTCTTTGGGCTGCTGGAATGGTGAAACAACCACGTAGGACATCGGGCATTCTGCGGCTTGACAATGGCTTGGCCATGTGGGCATGCAGCGGCATGCAGCGGCATGCAGGCAGGACTTCATTTACTTGCCTTTGCGCACAAAATTGGTTTTGTTCAGAATCAGTTGCTGCAAATTGTCGACATCTAAATGAGACAACACTGGTGTCATGAAACGAGATCCCCAGCTGAAGAATGTCACCACCAGGGATGCGATCCAACCATTTCGCAAGTTGGCAGACACTGTGATGCCCAAGAGCTTTTGTTTGTCATCATAGACACTCAGTCTCCGCTCAATGGCCTGCAGGGCTGCAATCACCTTGGTCCGATCCCAATGCTTTCGTAAATGCACTGCCTTGAGCATGGCCTCCGTCAAAAAGAGAGTGTCCCGGTCTAAGACATTATTGATTCCAATGCACACTTCGAAGACCCTGAACATGGCAAAGGTCAGAACTGAGGACAGCATAAGAATCAACAAAAAGCCGGGGGAGAAAGGGTCGCTATGAAGAGACCATTCCACGATGCCGGTGAATAGGAGGCCAAGGAGAAGCAAGAACACAATGGCCCCACAAGCATCCATAATGGCAGATTCGTCTTTGAAATCAATCTGAATATATCTCCGCACTGCCCACCATGCTTCAACGTCCTCGACACTCTTCACCTTCTCCAGAACCAAGGCATCAAAAAGGTTGGTTTCTGGCACCTCCTGGCTGCCGTTCCGACCCGAAACCCTTTCAGCCTCCTTCAAGGATCCCCTGATGTGCAAGTATTTCAACTTCAAATCCGAATCCGCTTTCAACTCGCTCGAATCCAAAGTTTCCCTTTCTGATGCATTCAAGTACTCCACAGAACCCGAGGAGATACAAGAGAAGAGCAGCAATTGAACTCGATTCCGTTTCATCCCCAAGGTTGATGAAAAGATTCCAGAAATCGCATTGTTCCAACTCATGCTCGCAGGAATAGCTGCCGCCACCACGACCACCAGATCGGGCCATGATACTCCATCTATAGGTCCCGAAAACGACTCCCTCGCTTCTTCAAAGGCCCAAAGGTCTGTCCATGAGACTCCGCCAGACAGGAAAACTCTCGTCTCAAGTGACTCAAGGCTCTTCAAGCTCCTCAAAAGCCTCACCTGCAGAAGCAGCATCCCTCCAAACATCACAAACGTCGAAGCTCGAATCAGGACTTTGTCGAAGCCACATGGCACAGACCAACGTGCCCTGGACACCTTCGAAAAACAATCTGGTACATGCTCATCATCAAGGTGCCAACTGTCTCCGAAGGTTTTTGAAAAGTCGTCCACAATTTTATCCACGCCGTTTCTGGAACACTTTCTTAAGGCCTCGCACTTGTGCCAATGAACCTGAGCTGACACTTCAATGATGTGTATTGAGAGAACGCGCCACAGCAGAATCGAACCCAGACTGAGTATATCTGAGATCTGATTGATCTGCATCTGCGCCACAATGGAGCGCAAGCTGGTGCCCTCCTTAAAGACCTCCCAGCTTCGAAAGACAAACAGAATATCGCCATACACATTCAGAAAGAGAATAGTCCACATTCCAAATTCCTGGAACATTGGTAAGAACTTCAGTGAGCGAGGGCCCACACCCAGCAAATGCCGCTTCCACAAGCAGCAATAGACAAACATGAACGGTATGACAAAGATGCTCGCACCTGGGACAATGCAAGACATCGCGACCAGGCCCAGCCAAGCCACTCTCATCCAACTTGATCCAATATCTGCAAGTGGCGCGGCTATGGTGTTCGTTTTGTGGAAGACCCTGTCCAAGAGTTCTTGCGCCTTCTTCACACGCTCTTTGGCGGGCTGTGATCCATCTGGTGCATCTGGCAGTTTGGACGTCCGTCCGGGCTCTGCACCATCCTCTGGACCGAGCTCCTCGGCCTTGGCACACTCCACATCCACCGTCGCGCTCTCGGGAGTCACTGGGGACACAGGCGCCAGCGACGGCCGTCTCTTCTTCTTCAGACCGGCTTTGTGAGCAGGCGGCCGTGGCCTTGCTCCGCGGGGTTTCTTCACCTGCGTCGGCTGCGCGTTCTGGGTTCGAGCCTCAGAAGGACCAGCTTCCTCCGTAAGATCTGGCATGGCGAGGAGGAAAGGCCAGAGAACAATACGGTTGAATTTTGAGAAGTGGTTGAAAAGCGGCCTCTGCCGTTTGGCATGCAACGTGAAAAGTGTCACATGGATTGATGAGTACGTCTTCTCATGTCATTCTCCGCGTGTCATGCATCATCTTATTCGTCGCACTGTTTCTTGAAACCCTTGTCAAGTGTGAGCCAAATGTTTCCGTGTTCAAGTGCGCAGCCGGGAGCGAAATTCTAAGATATATAACAAGAGAACAGTGAAAACAACATGTAAAGCAGCAAGATCCTTTAAGAACATGTAAGACACAAAAACCATTCATGCTATAAGCGAATTCATTCCCAGTCACTACAAGTAGCCAGCCGAAACATCACCCAACCGAAAGACACGCAGTGCCTGAAATAGCGCGATGGCTCGGTTGACACGAAGACATCACCAGTGCCTCATTCCCGGTACCCGGATGGGGACGACGAATGGCGAACCGACTCCATCGGGTGGCTTGGAGGGTCGAAAGACGAAGGACGTGCCCAAAATAGCTCACCGGCGGGTTCGTCCTGGATCCGCCTGGGGGAAGCCGACGTCCGTTCACATGTTCGGTGGCTTTTGGTTCTTTCCACTCTGGTTCACATCTCTTTGAACGCTTCGTTCGGCTAGGAAAGGTGTATCGTTCGCCCTTCGGAAAAACCTCCCAGTCCTCACGGTGTCAAGCAATCAATCCGCTGTCAAGCGCATTGATCCGACGCTGTATCGATTGCTTGGAAGGTGCTTGCTTGGAAGGCCAGGCCTTCAGCATCTAAAGAGATCGGCTCTCCCGACCTCAGATGGAGAGGCACATTTAAATCAAAAAAGGGACCGGATGCATAGCTTCAAAGGCATATCCGCCGACCCCGTGGTGCAGCAAGGGGGAGCGCGCACCGAAATGGTATGTTCTGTTGTTTGTGGCCATAAGGTGGGCTACTGCTTCTTCATCTAGAGATCCCACCCCGAAGTGTTTTTGGTGCTCGGTGCGCAGGTTTCTGTGCCTGGAACAGTGGAGCTCTGTGCCTGCAACAGTGGAATTGCCTGCCGAGATCCCAGCCCGAAGTGTCTTTGGTGCTCGGTGCCTGGAACAATGGAGCTCTGTGCCTGCAACAGTGCAATTCCTGCCAGAACCTTGATTTTTTCATTCGGTTCAGGAGTGACGTTTGGCCCGGGCAGAGGGACGGCAGGAGGCTGTTCCGTCACGCCGTGCCAGGGTGTTTTCCTGATTCGAAGGGTGTCTTGTGGCTTGGTTTGTGTGCCTGGAACAATTGCCTGCCGGACCCTTGATTTTTCATTCGGTTCAGGAGTGACGTTTGGCCCGGGCAGAGGGACAGCAGGAGGCTGTTCCGTCACGCCGTGCCAGGGTGCTTTCCTGATTCGAAGGGTGTCTTGTGGCTTGGTTTGTGTGCCTGGAACAATTGCCTGCCAGACCCTTGATTTTTTCATTCGGTTCAGGAGTGACGTTTTGCCCGGGCAGAGGGACGGCGGAGACTGTTTCGTCACGCCCTGCCAAGGTGTTTTCCTGATTTGAAGGGTGTCTTGTGGCTTGGTTTGTGTGGCTGGAAGACCCTTTTTTTTTCATTCCGTTCAGGAGTGACGTTTGGCCCGGGCAGAGGGAAGCACCAGGCCGTTCCGTCACGCCGTGCCAGGGTGTTTTCCTGATTCGAAGGGTGTCTTGTGGCTTGGTTGCTGTGCTTGGAACAGTGGAATCGCCTGCCAGAACCTTGATGTTTTTCAGTCGGTTCAGGAGTGATGTTTGGCCCGGGCAGAGGGACGGCAGGAGGCTGTTCCGTTCTGATTTTT